TTTGTAGAATTTTTGCAAATTGATCATCTATGTTTTTCAAATTTGAAAAGAGATTATTGTTCAATTGGCATAATTGAGGAGATTTTTCATTTATTTCAATTTTGCTATTAAGTAAAAGGTATGATCGGTGTATTTGTGAATTATTAATATAAAAGTAAAATTGATGATAATGACTTATTATTTGGGCAGTTCCCCATTGTTCTTGAAAGAAGGTGCTATTGCTGTTAAGTGGAATTTCCCGAAATGCCTGGGACTTGTCTATCAGCGTCTGGGCGATTGTCAAAATCCTGTAATAAAATTGGGTGTGGTTTTGTTAATTTTCAATTTTGCCGTGAATCTGAGTAGAGCGTTATTAAATTCCCTACCATTATCGCACGTGATTTTTGGGGAAATTGTGGTGTGAATAATAATGAGTTTGATAAGTATTGTGGTAGCATTTTTGTCGCGTACGTAATATGCTTGAGCGTACTTGGAAAAGTTATCCAAGATAGTTATGAATGTAAAATTTTGAATGGCATAGAGATCTATGTATGAATGTTGCAAAGGTCTTTTTGAAATCAAGGGGCCTTGTAGGGGTGTTTGATAAGGGTGTCTTTCGTATTTAACTTCTAGACATGTTTAACATTAATTGATATATTTGTTTATTACTTAACTCTTTCATATGAGGTGTATAATATAGTTTTGAAATGTTGATATGTTTCTTGTATGCCGTTGTGATTATTTTTATAGTATTTTTCTAGATGTTTATTGAACATATAGTTTGTTATTGATAGAGGTTTATTATTAGTTTTTATAAATACAACTGTGTTGTTAAAAAACTGTTGTATCAATTTAATAAAGGGATTTTCGATTTCAATCGACTTAAAATAAACACAATATGTCGTTTTCGGTTTAATACTTATGTTCTTTCAGGAATTTTATTAGTTGGTCTGATTCGCATTTTTTTCTAATATAAACAATATAAACATTGTGGCAAATTTTGTTTGTGGACTCTAATTTTGTTTCTTTGACACGATATGAATCACCGTATTCTAAAATAATTTGGTTCTTGAAGGTTTGCAAAATTTTGTCTGTGATTTGTAATTCACAGATAGGGTTTTCGCTAGATGAATGAATCGTTTCGTTTTCGTCAATTTGTCTGTCAGATGTTAGGTTAGACAAGTCAAAAGGTGGCCCATTTTCTAAAATTTTATCTGCAATTTCAGGTGGTAGTTCTTCTGATGGGTCTACGATGCCAAATAAGGAAGTGAGGTCTATATCGTCTTCTGTTTCTATTTCGGTTTGTTCGTTATTTATTTCTACGCGGGATAATGCGTCCTCTATTACGTTTTCTTTTCCTTTTTTATATTTTACCTCGTAGTCGAATTCTTCGAGTTTCAATCTCCATTTGACTAATCTGCTGTTTGGTTCTTTAAGACAGTAGAGTCAAACCAAGGGTTTGTGGTCCGTTTCAATTGTGAATTTGTTTCCATAGATGTACGGTCTCCATTGTTTACAACATTCCACTATGGCCAAAAGTTCTCTTTCTACGGAGAGTAGTTTTTTTTCAGCGGTGTTTAACGTTCTACTATAGAAGGCAATGGGTTTTTCATTTTGAGATAGGACTGAACCTATTGGTATATTACTTGCGTCGCGATGTCACGATGCGTATAATAACACAGCCACACAAAAAAAGAAAAGTAATCTGCACTTTTCATGCGACATTTTCATTTATCAGCAGTATTTTGCCTCCTGATCACGAATTCTGTGTGAGAATTGAGCTATCACATCACAGGAATTTCCTAACCTCAAAAAACAGGTCGAAAATAACATAAATTCACGAAAAAGTGCTAGGAAAAATAGAAAAATTTTTTTTCTATATTCAAACGTTCATCAATATAGTTAAGACGCCGCCGAACGTGAATTAGCGGTCAGAATTGATGGTTCTTTTTCTAACCTCAAAAAACGGGTCAATTAAGGTCAGATATCACGAATTTTCAAAAAATAACAAATTTTGCGCCCAATTTGGTGTACGGGGGTGATCACGGTGATCACAGATCCGAGGTAAATTTTGCAAAATTCAAGATGGCGGATTCAAGATGGCCGACCAAAGTTTCAAAAAATAACAGATTCGCATCAAATTTGGTAGGTATAAGGGTTTTTTTCGGGGTCGCTGATTACGAATTCGAGGTCAATTTTTCAAAATTCAAGATGGCGGCCGACCAAATTTTCAAAAAATAATACATTCGCCCCAAATTTGGTATACGGGGGTATTCGAGGTTACTGAGCACGAATACGAGATCAAATTTACAAAATTCAACCCGTGAATAGATTTTTTACAGAAAAAAGAACAAGATATAGCCGAAAAAAGTAGATTAACACATGATTGGGTACTCAGATTATAAAGTAAAATATTACAAAATTAGTTTCGCAATTCTGACCTCGAATCCGAATCAGCGATTCCGAACACCCTCGTATACCAAATTTGCTGTGATTCCGTTATTATTTGAAAATTTGGTCGGCCATTTTGGATCCGATATTTTGAATTTTGCAAAATTGATCTCGAATCCGTAGTCAACGACCCCGAAAACCTCCGTTTACCAAATTTGCTGCGATTCTGTTATTTTTTGAAAATTTGGTCGGCCATCTTGGATCCGCCATCTTGAATTTTGCAAAATTGACCTCGGATCCGTGATCAGAGGCCCAGAAAACTCCCGTATACCAAATTTGGCACGAATCTGTTATTGCTTGAAAATTTGTGATATCCGACTTTAATTGACCAGTTTTTTTTGAGGTTAGAAAAAGAACCATTAATGCTGACTGCGGATTCACGTTTGGCGGGGTCTTGACTATATAAATGATCATTTGAATATAGAAAAAAAATTTTTTTATTATTTTTCTTAGCGCTTTTTCATGAAATGCTGCTATTTTTTACCTGTTTTTTGAAGTTAGGAAATTTCTGTGATGTGATAGCTCAATTCTGACACCGTATTCGTGATCAGGAGGCAAAAATACTACAGATAACATGTGTCGCATGAAAAGTACAGACTACTTTTCTTTTTTTGTGTGGCTGTGTAATTTACGTGTTTCGCAATGATACAATGACATAAGTCTTGTAATTATTGTTGACTTTATTTTATGTTGATGATCCGCACAACATCTATAAATAAAGAAATAATCAGGTATGATTTTAATTCTCGTTCAAAATTGCGTATATTAGAAAATTATACAACAAAAAGTGACCAATTATGCATTACCCAAGTAGTACCTTAATATTTACTCATTAACGTCAACAGTTTTCTTTTTATCTAGGTATACTAGAATATTTGATACGAACTTGAAAACCATATCTATAAAGTAGGACCAATGTCAGTCGTTAGTGTAAACTACAATAAATAAATATTTGTGGAAAGAAACGTCACTTCCGTGACGCCAATAAGCTTGAAAAACATGCGAGGTTTAAGATGCTGATATCTTGAGAGAAGTATCGAAGTCAAATTACAAATAAAATGAATTCATTTGTATTTCACTTGCGTTTTGCGTTACTTTTAGTTGAGTGAAGTATGAAATATCTACTTCTCAACTTTAAAATCTTGTTCAAAGTATAACATTTTTAGAAAAAGCTTTGTAATAAATTTCACATATTTCCTGTATTAAATACCTACATATGTACCGACATATTCAGATCTAAGGATGTGAAATGATTAAATAAACAATTACCGCATTTTAAACCAAATTAATAATGAATAACTTTAATGGAATACAATTAGTGTACATTTCTGAGAAGCTTTGGTAAGAGACGGTTAAAACTAAAACGAATGTTTATATAAATCTAAAAATATACATTGCCTCAATTCGAGGAGCTTAGTAATTTTCAAAGAAAATTATTGAGATTCTGTTCAACCCTATAGGTAGGTATTAGATGTTCTAACAATTTTGCTCTGTGATTGAAGTAAATAAAAGAGCTTTTCTTGAATTTACCAATACTTGAAACTTAGGCAACTAGAACAATAGTGTAGTGTATCACCTATACGTAAAACGGAAAATGTACACTATCCAAAATAGAATAACCGCAGTTGTTTCATTCAAATTTGGAAGAAATTGGAAGCGCCTCATTTTTGCAGCCCTTCCGATTCAATGATTCATTCATCTTAGGGTTACGTGTTACGTGCCGTGATGTTATTAGTATTTTTGACCTCAGGTAACCCAGGATAAGAACCCCAACAATGCCGGAGATCGAGTTTTTCCATTTAATTAAATTCAGCTAGCAGGAGCGTTAACTCGCTTTAAAAGGCTCGGTTATCGTTCCGCAAGATGTTTTTCTTCAATTAATTACGTTGATAACTCTTAACAATAAAAGGCTTTGTCTCGGGCTTGGTTTATACTTAATAGCGAATGTTGCTCACTGTTCTAGTCTTGCTAATAAATGAGTAGTATTTTTAGGCTGGTGACTCAATATAAATTAGACACTGGTGCTGTAGGTAATAATTAATAATATTTTACGTTGATTTGTCAACTTCAGCGAATCGTATTGTTACATACTTAAGCCTACCTATATAATTTTATTAATGAAATGGAAAGCGAAGTGAAAAAAGTGGCGCAAGCGCCAAGGACCTTACACCTACACAAACAATCGGTGTCATTGTGCTACATGTTACTTTAAATTATGATAATTAAATATTTAGACAAAATTAACACATCAATGAATTCTAATACTAGAAAATATAGTACAACTACGCCCCCCTTCCGCCGCTCCCCTCACACACGCTCGTTACGTTACAACAATAACAAAACTTATTTTTAAACTCTATTACCTCTGCCACTGTTTATGTGGGTTTAGTTTTTTCGGCTGCGTTGAGAACTACAGATCAATATCAGACCTATTACTTAATGTCATTGACCTAATTTAGAAAAACGATACCTTTATAACTATTTTAAAACACAAAAGTTATAGGACATAAAATATCAAATATCTGTCAGGTGACTGATTATATTTATCTATGTGAAAAAAGGCTACATACACACGTGTTTTTCTTTTAGATGATTCCTTATCTGCTACTGATTATCTTCGTTATCTTCATATTTTAAACAACACACTCACTCCTTACACTACTGCTAAAATACAGCACAGACACAAAATACACACTAATTACTAAGACAGAATGACTAAGATGCCATTTTGGGAAAAATTAAAAATGTGGCACCACCTCTACGCTGTAGATGATGCTGTGTCTTGACTGTATTAGATCACTATCAGCGGTAACAATTCTTTACGGTCTCGTAACAATTTTGTCCAGTAGATGGCACGATGACACGGATCGTCGTTCATCAGCTGATCAAATATTCAAATTCTTCATTCTTCATTTCCAAATTTCCTCATCGTGTGAGGAGGTATGAAGCTCATCTCTTACATCTTCAATCTCCATTGTAGTGACCCACAATCCACAGCCATATTGCCCGCAATCAAACATACGAACTATAATAGAATAGGGAATAGGTATCAATATCTGGTATCTGGTATAATAACCCACATTTTAAGAAATATTTTTATAAAAATATTTGAAATAGGTAACGCACTAGTAATATGTCATTAAGTATATTCTATTTTAATAAAAAGTTTAAAAAGTTATTATTACAGTTTATCATCCATTAGTCAGTAATCATTATTACTTGAATAATATTTTTAGAGGATGTTTAACATAGTGATGAAACGGATTTATCTAAGTAGAAGTAAAAAATTCGCTAAGTTCAATTAGAAATATACGTCAATCAGTGGCAGAAATACGAAGGGGTCAATATTTCTAGGAGTTTCGACACCAATGAACGTTCTGCTTTTTAACACTATTGAAATTTCTAAGAAATAATACCTCTAACATTTTGTTCGAAAACGAGACATTTTAAAAGGTTTGATCTTTTATATTAAAAGCTGACAACATATGCAATTAAGAAAATAAAAAATAACTAATGAGAGCTTTTTGTTAAAAATACAATTTTAAATACGTCATGTGTCAAAAACCCAAAAAATCATTGGTGTAGGAATTTTTAATTTTGTAAGGGTAAATAACTTATAATAAATTTCTACGCCACTGATTTCTTGAAGTATCTTTAAGTTATTTATTTTTTTCTTTATTTTTTGAGCATTTTGTCAAAAATGAAAACATTAGAGCGCCAATGTATATTTATATTTCTCTAATTTTTAAATTTTTTTCACAGGTGGCAAAATACCCAAAAAATAAAGAAAAATATATTATTTTGTTTTGATAACATATTTAAAATTGTATTTTAATGAATAATCCACATAATTGTTTTTTTTTAAAAAAAAAGTTGTAAGGTTACTTTAATACAAAAAAATAAAAATAAATAAAAAATCAAACCTATTCTATTTGCATAGTAGAGACACTTGTCAAAATTCTGAGGCTCCTAGAGGTATCGACATTTCGTTCTTCTACCATTAGTGGAAATATTTGTATGTAAGTCAACTTAGCGCGTTGTGTACCTGAAAAACGAATCATCACTAACAGTTCATACGAAACCTTTTGCTGAAAATAATTATCGTAGTAAAGAAATTCACCTATGTTTCGAAAAGAATTCGATAACCCTTTAACAAAACTCCATACAAGGCGCAGTTACCCCCAAATCTACCGGAACCACGAGTAAGCAAATAGACGACCTACTAAACCGATCGGAAGGCGCAGGACGGGAGAACTTGTTTTCGCCACAATGTGGAAAATTTGTTTAATTTCCCCTCTGCAAAGCCACGATTGCCACCAGAGGCCACTAACCGTACCAGAAAATACTGACTGTGCAAGCAAGAACTGCGAAACCACCACCAACCACGCAGGAAGACGCGAAAAATTTTTACGCATGTTTCGAATATTTCCTGCCATCCGCTATGTAGCCATGATTGCCATCAAAAGTCACCAGCCGTATCAGACGACGCTGACCATGCGTGCCCATCATCAGTCATTAGTTTTCAAGTATCGATAACTTCTTGAAATTATAATAAAAATCACAAAACTCTTCGAATTGAGGCAATTGCTATTTTTAAATTCAGATAACCATTTGTTTCAGCTTTAACGACCGGCCTTTTATATATTGAATATTTCATAGAAATGTTTACTAGTTCTGTTCCATTAAAGTTTTTGGTGATTAATTTCACGTAATTGTTTATTTAACCATCCTGCATTCACATATACGTGGGTATATACAGGGGTGTCTCACCTGGAACTGTGTCGATCGATATCTAGGAAAGTATTGCTCCGAAAAATTTGTAAACTTGGCAACAAGGCAATGTCCCTGGGCCGAACACAACTAAAATATTTAGAACTCTTCAGCACTTCCGGTTATATCGGAAGTCGGCACCAATCCGCTATGTAGCCATGATTGCCATCAAAAGTCACCAGCCGTATCAGACGACGCTGACCGTGCGTGACCATCATCAGTCATTAATTTGACAAAATGTTCATTCCATATAACATATATTTCACTGCAGTCAAATAAAGTGTTAAGTTAACACTGTTAACTGTATTTACAAACGAGAAAAAACTGAAACATTACAGAAATTAAAATAGTTATGTACCTACCTTCACATAATATTTATCCCAATTTAATTTATAAAATATTCGCAGTAGTAATAAATTGAGTTGATATATTTATAAATCTGGTCGAATGTCTCCGGCCACAAGATGTAAAAGGATAAAGAGACGATATCTCTTTAATAAACAACTTATGGAAATTCACTTGACTATGAATTTTGTTGAACATAAATAAATGTATTATTTACTTGCACAAATGAGAAAAAATCTTTCAATGTAGGTATTTCTTTTATGAAACGTTAATACAGTTTAAAGCATAATTATCAACGAGACGCAACTGCAAATTAACGAATCTACATTTATCTAGCCAATTCGCAAACCAAAATATATAACGTATTGCCTTCTACCTTTTTAAACCCGACCACAGATGGACGATACTAGCGCATCTGTAGTTGTAGTTTCCCGTATAGTTAGAAGTCTTATTAGAATATTTCAGTTAACGTTACAATATTATTTCAGTCAACGTAGTGGCGTAAAGGTGGTGCCACATTTTAATTGTTTACCTAAAATGGCATCTTAGTCATTTGTGTCTCAGTCAGTCTCAATGGTAAACGCTATATTAATCTATGCTCAGTAGTTCGTTAGTCAGTGTGTATTGGTGGTGTCTGTGCTATATTTTGTGCAGTAGTGTTAGAAGTGAGCGTGTTCATTTAAAATATGAAGATAACGAAGATAATCAGTAGCAGATAAGATATCCTTTAAAAGAAAAACACGTGTATGTAACTTTTTTCATAAAGGTAAATATAATCAATCACCTGATATTATTTGATATTTTATTTCCTATAACTTTTTAAAATTTGTAATAAAGGGATCGTTTTTCTAAATTAGGTCAATGGCAAAGAGCAAAAAGTCGGATACGGTCTAGTTCTCAACTCGACCGAAAAAATAAAACCCACATAAACAGTGGCAGAGGTAGTAAAGTCAAAAATAAATTTTGTTATTGTGACGTGTGCGGGGGGGAACGTAGTCATGGTATATTTTCTACTGTTAGGAAAAGGCCCCTTAAATCATGGTGTGTCAACTTTGTCTAAATATTTAATTATTATAATTTAAAGTAACATGTTGCATCGATAGTTTGTGTAGGTGTAAGGTCCTTGGCGCTTGCGCTACTTTTTTTCTACTTTCCATTTCAATAATGAAAATGTGTAGGCTTATTCATGCGATTTGTTGAAATAGACAAATCACAGTAAAACATTATTAGGTACCTCAAAAACAGTGCCAGTGACTATATATTTAACTGAATCATCCAGCCTAAAAATATGACTATTCCTCATTACTGACCAAGATCCGAACAGCGTCTCTATTAAACAAAAACCAAGAATTGGCAAGAATTATCAACGTACCTAAGTAATTGAAGAAAAACATATTGTGAAACGATGTCCTAATGTGAGTTAACGCTCCTGTAAAAGTACTATTTAGAACAAAACGGTCACGTAACCTAAAGATGAATAAATCATTGGATAAGAAGGGTTGTTCTGTGTTTCTTTCTTCCAGTGTTTCCTTTCAAATTTGCATCAAATACTACAGTTATCCTATTTTGGATAGCATACACTTTCCTAGAAGGATTGGAAAGTTAATCTTTAATAACAGCCTAGTCGAAAAACAACCTAAGATGTGATCTAGGAAGTAATAATAATAATAGGAATAATCAATTTACACTATTATAGTTATGAATGGAAGTATTGTAGATTTGGCCTAAAAATAATATGTTTTTGTACTCGGGTGACCCTGGAAGTTTTCTTTTTATAAATCTGACTAAGTATACCTCGAAATATACCTACATGCGAATAAGATTGTTAGTTGCCCTAGTTTCACGTATCGATAACGTCTTGAAATTATAATAAAAACCACAAAACTCTTCGAATTGAGGCAATTGATATTTTTAAATTCAGATAACCATTTGTTTCAGCTTTAACGGCCGGCCTTTTATATATTGAATAGAAATGTTTACTAAGTTCTGTTCCATTAAAGTTTTTCGTAATTGTTTATTTAACCATCCTGCATTCACATATACGTCGGTATATACAGGGTGTCCCACCGGGGACTGTGTCGATTTATATCTAGGAAAGTACTGCTCCGAAAAATTTGAAAACTTGGCAACGTGGCAATGTCCCCTGGTCGAACACAACTAAAATATCTAGAACTCTCCAGCACTTCCGGTTATATCGGAAGTCGGCACCAACTTCGTTATTTTAAATGGGACTCCCTATATATTATTGCATTTTCGTATTATATATACGTGAAATTTGAGGGTCACTTTATCAAATATTCCCTATACCTAGGAGTTATAGATTTTGAGACATTCATTTTTAAAGAAAAAATTTGACAGATACAAGGGTCCACGGAGAAGCTAGTAACTCCGTATCACGAGCGTGATGTCAAGTGGATTTTTGGCACCTGTAAAGGTAACACTACATTATGGTATACCAACAAATTAAAACATTTAATACTAGGTGTTTCATTTTTGTTGTTACATTTTGATAACTTCAAACAGCTATAACTTTGTTAACTTAAATGGAACACTCTCTATTTTTTTACTCGTCGTATGGAGATTTAAGTTTCCTTTCAAGCCATATAATCATTGTTAGGGTTGCCGTACTACTTTTACAGATGTTTGCAATTTTCTAATTTTTGGAAAGTTTTTCTCGTGTCAGACATATTCGAGGGGTGGATAACTCAATAAAAATTTGTACACAGATTTTAAATCCCACTTAATTAGGATTGATTTAAGTACTATTTTTCAATTATCCAGATTTAACATGATTTAATTGACAAATTAAGAGATTTAAATTGAGATTTAAAAACTTATTAAATTTGATTTAAGGACATTTCTTTGGATTTAAGGAGATTTAGTTAGATTTAAGGTACTGGATGGTGATTTATATTGATTTANTAAATTATGGTATACCAACAAATTAAAACATTTAATACTAGGTGTTTCATTTTTGTTGTTACATTTTGATAACTTCAAACAGCTATAACTTTGTTAACTTAAATGGAACACCCTCTATTTTTTTACTCTGTCGTATGGAGATTGAAATTTCCTTTCAAGCCATATAATCATTGTTAGGGTTGCCGTACTACTTTTACAGATGTTTGCAATTTTCTAATTTTTGGAAAGGTTTTCTCGTGTCAGACATATTGTCAAATTGGCCATGACCAGAAACACTCCAAAAACAATTGGAATAACATGACTTTGTTAAGTTAGTTGTCAAATCAATGTTGTGTCTGATTAGTTGTTGCTGAAAATTTAAATAAAAATGCCTGGGGATCCTTTAAATTATACTAATGAGGATTATTTTAATTTGTTTGTTATTTATGGAAAATGTGAAAAAGTAATTTCAAGAACATGTAGAGAATCTGAAGCCTTTTTCCATAAATAACAAATAAATTAACATAATCCTCATAAGTATAATTTAATCGTTCCCCAGGCTTTTTTAATTTAAATTTTCAGCAAAACCTATTACAGGCATAAAACAATAATTTGACAACTTGGCAAACGTCAAGTTATTTTAATTGTTTTGGAGTGTTTCTGGTCATGGCCAATTTGACAACAGGTTTGATACGAGAAAAATTATTCAAAAAATAGAAAATTGCAAATACTTATCCCTAAAAGTAGTAACGGCAACCCTAACAATGCTTACATGGCTTGAAAGGAAATTTTAATCTGCCTAGGACAGAGTAAAAAAATACAGGCTGTTCAATTTAAGTTAACAAAGTTATAGCTGTTTGAAGTTATTAAAATATAACAGCAAAAACGAAACCTACTATTAAATGTTTTAATTTGTTGGTGTACCATGATTTAGTGTTACCTATGCCCTTTATAGATACCAAAAATCTGTTTGATATCACGCTATTGAAAAGAGTTACTAGCATCTCCGCGGACCTTTACATCTGTCATTTTTTTTTCCTTAAAAATAATATCTAAAAATCTATAACTTCCAAGTATAAGGAATATTTAATAAAGTGAGCTTCAAATTTCACGTAGAATACTAAAATGCAATTTTATATATTGTGTCCCATTTAAAATAACGAAGTTGGTGTCGACTTCCGGTATAACCGGAAGTGCTAGAGAGTTCTAGATATTTTAGTTGTGTTCTCCCTAGGGACATTGCCATGTTGCCAAATTTTCAAATTTTTCGGAGTAGTAAGTACTTTCCTAGATATCGATTAACGGTGTTCCCGGTGGGACACCCTGTATATATTTACAGGAAATTTTAATTTGTAAAATTTATTACAAAGCTTTTCCTCAAGTGATAAACTTTGAACGAGGCTTTGAAAACAACGAAAAGTAACGCAAGTAAAATAAAAATGAGTTGGTATTTCTCAAGATATACTCTACGTCTTAAGCTCGCATGTTTTTAAAAAATATTGGCGTAACGGAAGTGACGTTTCTTTCTGCAAATATGTATTTGTTTACTGTTGTTTACTTTAACGACTGACATTATACCTCGCATTATACATACGATTTTCAAGCTTGTATCAAGTATAGTGTGGGTAGAATACTCGGTAGAAAACTAACTGTTGACTGTAATGAGTAAATCCAGGAGTAAATATTTTCGTAGGTAATACATAGTTGGTCACTTTTTTGGATAATTTTATTATCTTTAAAAGCTTAACAAGATAGCATTCACACGAGCATTCATAAAGATAGGCCACTTTTAGTAGACTGTAAAAAAACTATTACAGATCTTGTTAGTTTCTTTGTTGCTATTTTGCTGCACTAAATGAATTTTTTTATCTTAAGTCGTTTTTCGAGAAAATTGCAAACTGCTGCTGTCTTAAGGTGGCAATCCAGACAATTTCTAAACATCTTATTCACGTACTACAATGATAATTGACCAGAATTGGGTATTTTCAGAATCCATGGTCACATTTTCGATTTGGATGATTTCCAATGCCAAAATAAGGAAAAACTCGAAATGAATGTGGTTATACAATTACAGTGCTTTGAGGCTGCATCAGTCATTTCACCCCACCATCAAAATTCCTAGTTCATAATTTATTACAAAATTATACCCCCAATTTTTTCTATTGCACTTGCCCGTAATTAATAATTACAATCAGCCTAGGTTTAGTTTGAAGATATATCAGCTACACGTAATTTTTAGACTACTTACCTCAGATAGAGAGCTTGGAGGAGAATTTAGTACAAATAAATCACGCGAAACTATAGTTCTCGCTATAGTCTTTCCGATATCAATTGAAGAACCAAGAGGATGACAGGTTTGGTCGCTGACGCAGCAACTTGTTCCCATATTTATTTAGTCATACAGGTCTGGTCGAACAAAACATGCAGGTGGTAGAAATACAATACGCACTGTTGCTCTGGTCGATTGCGTCATAAATTTCAGTTGTCGATAAATCGCCTGGCAGTGCAGTGCACCAATGCAGAATTTGGTGTGATTCAGGTAATTTTAATTTATTATAGGCACCTTCTATTAATCATTCATATTACAATTCCGAAAGGGAGAAATAAGGAGGATATTTGGTTTACTAATATTATTACAACATGGCATTTTGGAGACCTTTTGAAACGGAACAAAACGAAATTTACTATCAACATAAATAATTAAAGAATGTTGTTGGCCAAATGAATATATAGGTAATAGAAATTTTCTACACATTTTATACAAATTATCATAATTTTTTACCTTTAGCAGAAAACTTTTTTAGGGACGCCTATGAAACTCATTAAATTTTACTCGAAATTTTATTGCTCGGCCTTTTTATACATGTTTGATTTATAAATACCATAACAAATTTGCAGGTGTGCCTTATCCCATAAATTATGCGAACAAATGTACCTACGAGTCCGCCCTTTTCACAAATTTAATATTTTATTATCTCATAGTCCACCGCTTTAAAACTATCACAAGGTGATCCGCATTGTGCCGAGAATAATCATTTTTAGATAAAGATAATCTCTTGAATGTGAACAATTTTTCATGCTATTCTCGAGGCTATTCTCTATTTTATGAGATCACCCTCGAGATCAGCCTACTAGCTTCATTTAAGAATAAATTGACATAAATTCTCTCGGTTCGTCTTATTTGATAAGTAAATTTAGATTGATTCAGGATGTAATAATCATTACATTCAACAATAGTACCTATTTGTGATAACGGAAACGTAGCGAATCTTATAGGACTTACTCTGAAGTTACGATGATTTTGTGGTTATAAATCGTTTGTGTTAAAAACTAATACACTCGACGCAATATAGCCTTCATAAATAATTACAAGCTAGGTACGTCACCGTTGAGCTTAGGCAACCCAACATTGCACGATTGGTTTATAGTAAAGGTAGTCTTTCCGAAGTTAGTTGAACATGTATAAAAACGCCTAACAATAAAATTTAATGAGTTTCATAGGCGTCCCTAAAAAAGTTTTCTAAAGGTGAAAAATTATAATAATTTTTATATAATGTGTAGAAAATTTCTATTATATGTTCATTTGGCCATTCATAAGAAGTGGATCTTATTTGTGGAAGGGCGAAATGGGCGGTGACTATTAGCCTTCATTATAGCCATCTTTCTCTATCGCACGGAATTCTATGACTTTCTTTATCGCTCTCACGTAACGGCCGATGAACAATGGGGACTTTCCTACTCTGTATGTATTCAGTCAATGGCGCCAATCTTCCGTGGCCCTTTTCCGGGAAGCATAGTGTATGTACTCCGCTTGTAGACAATGTGTACCCACATATTCAAGGGGGTGTTACCAAGAAAAACCGGTCAAATTGTATATAGCTGGTTCCTGTATTTTCTATATTGTTTTTATATAGTATTTAGTGTATATCGACATAATATAATACATAGCATGTACTTAAAACATAATATGTATTTTTTATTGTAAATTTGTAACGAATATATTTAATTTAATATAGTTTCCAATTTTATATAAGTCAAAGCAGTAATTATATGTATCTACTTTACATGGAGTGCAAGTGCAAAAATTTAAGTATCCCGCCGTTTTCAGAGAACCACAGAACGGAGGAAAACCTACTCCTTTTGAATATGACTGGCTCGGCTCGTTCAAGGTTACAATTTTATCTTCTTAATACTTATTTCTAAAAAATTGTTACTGATTTATACTGTGATATCGTATTGATTATCAGTATTTTTTTAATGTTAGGTTGTAGGCTTTCATTTGGACATAAATTTATCTTTTTTTATTTGCAACAAATACGTGATCATCTTAAAAACTAACCTGCATTTCTTTTGTTTTCAGAACAATGACGGTGCCTTTGATGAAATACGTTTTAAGTAACTGCCTCATTTTATGTGTAATAAGCACCATTGTGATAGCACAGATACCCCAAGAATTCACGTTACAAAACCCATGTACAACGAAATCAAATTGCCGTGAGTGCATCCAGACTCCAAGCTGTGCTTGGTGCACCGACCCTGTAAGTGATTGGGAAATGCCGTTGTCACAAATTACTCCTAATTTGCTCATCTTTTGTTCTAGTTCTTATACTCGTATTTGTGTATCCATAAATTTTTGTAATTTCTAGGAGTACAAAGGGAGCGCTAGATGCTTCCGGCCGCTCTCTGGCGTCATCTCCAACAAGCTCTGCCGCGAGGAGTACGTCCTGAACCCGATCAGCATACTCAGCGTCACAGAAAACTTGAAACTTACAAGTGCGCGGTCTGGCTCCGGCGGCGGTGGGACTATGGTGGGAGTCGGAACAGGCAGTTTCCAGTATAATGAAACGTGGTCGGGGAAGGGCAAAATTAACGGAAACTTCGGATCCGGTGGCGGAGCCGCCAGTCACGGTAGAATCGTCCAGGTGGCGCCACAAAGACTGAGTTTGAAACTAAGGGCAAGTGAGTACTTCTTTTAATATTAAGGTTGCCAAAGTCAAGTCCAGGCTTTGGGCTTTACTATATTTTTCCAGGTATCAAATAAAATTATTTAGATTTCCTAAAATTATTCTCATGTAGAAAATTACTTTCTGCAATTTCTGCAACAGAGTCAAAGCGATCTTCTGTTATTAACACCAATGATTAAGACTATCTGAGGACACCCTGTACATGTCAAAATGTTGGATATTAATCGACTATTTATTTTCTAGTTTCTTAGCAAATTGAAATTGAGTTATAAAACAATATCAACTGCTAGCAAAGGCACAGCCAAAAAATACCTGGCCATGTCGAGGTCAAATCTTCGCCTGGTGACAGGGATTCAAACTGGACACTGTTGGCTAAGGAAACACCTTTACAATATGGGGAAGTGTGAAACACCTCTTTGTAGGGGCTGTGAACAGGAAGACGAGACAGGTGCTATGATGTGAAAGCACTGCCGTCTCGTCAACAAGAGAGTCAATGAACGCTGGCCTTCTATGGCTTGTATTAGAGAGATCCCCCTGAGCTACGTCACCACCTTTTTCGCTGTAATAGGCTGGTTAGCGGCTCAGGTGAATTGATCTCCTAATGGGAGGAAGTACAAGGGGCCCAATGGGGCCTAAGTGTTGTAGCTTTTAAGCTACCCTTCCCACGACTCCAGAACTCCAGAATATTAACTGTTGTATTTATAACCATTTCTTAATTGAGGAAGACCCTGTATATGTTAACCCACTCAAAATATTTTTTGAACACAGTTTTCTAGTAAATATGACTTTTCATAAAAATTCTATCTATTTAAAATCTAAATTCTTTTTGAAATATCTATTTACAGTTGACAATACCACTTTTCTGAAATTCTCGACCCTGACATACAAGGTGTAAGAAACTTGACTGCCATTACTTCACCGTGGGATAGAGTAATCATAAATGAACAAAAAAGTTGTTATTACAGGGGCGTAAGATTAACAGTTTTAAAAATCCAGTGAGTATTAATATTGGGGAGTTTCATCATAATGTGTCAACAGCGCTTAACCGAACGCTACATAGCTGGTGCATACTGCATACCACGTGGGTACGCGGCAGACTTGTCCTACGGAAAAAATGTAAACAACTATTGTTGAGAAACATTTAGTAAATTTCAAGACAATTGTTTTCCAGTTTTTAAATAAATAAATTAAAATGTATCATTTTTGTAGTATGCAGATAGTACCCAAAGATTCAGGTCATCCAAATAATCATACGTATTAAAAATAATTTAGGTACTTACCAAAAAGCAAAGTTCAGCACAAAACAAACTACAATATATGCTCAGCTTCGAATCCAATTTTCGCATACTCGCTGGAAAACACTTCAAGAACAGGAAATAGTGGTACGCAAAAAACACTCAGACACGGTCCAATTCCAGATATCAACTGAATTGGGTATTGCTTGACAGCTCAGTACTTCGTGTTATCCGCCACGTCATTGTCACATTGCTGCATGTGAATTTTATCGAGTATTAAATTTATTACAAACTAATTATTTTTTAGAATTAAGCATAAAGAAGTTCAAAAAAAATGATAAACATTGTATTTTATGGTATTCTATGCATGCAGTTATGTCAATATTCCTTAATTAATCGTACTTTTGTACATCAAGTCGGAGATTTTGATAATTTTTTTCTCGGAAATGGTTGAGTTTAAGACCCATCATGTCATATTAAGTTTTTTTTTGTTTATTTTAATGTATTCTATATCGTCTGTTAAAATTAAGGCAGTCAAACTTTTAACACCCTGTATAAGACTCAAAGGGAGTTAGAGAAATGTTTCAGAAGCATATACTCCGCGGTCGAAATTATAGAGAGTGACTCAGACATAATATAAAAACACTATTACCATAATNAAATTATAAAGAGTGACTAATACATAATATAAAAACACTATTACCATAATGCGTATAAAATATAAAATGATTTCTATACGGTTCAATATTATTTATCTTTGTGCCGCTCGCCATGCACATCGGTAGAATCTATAATCGTGTATAGACTGAGTTACACTGAACGTCGATCTATATTTTATCTCTGTCTTTTGCACGTGGTAGGGAATAGGGAAATGCTTTTTTAGTGGGTGTAAACGGACTTGATTTACCCGTCCTGAGAAATGTCATAGCATAAGCGTAGACGAGGGGTCTAATTCCATGGCTATAATAAATTTATAAATTAAAAAAACACATCTGGGACGTTTTAAAATGCTGTAATAATTAAAATGGATCAAAGTGCCGGAAATAGCAAACCGTAAAAAATATTATATGTTATGTTTTATTATCTTTTTTTAATATTTTCTATATCTTGTTGCCTTTTACGCAGACACGCCAATGGATTTTCGTTCCCGGCACGCTTCATCCCCCTTACTAGTCCAAAAGCTAGCGATGAGTCACTCTCTATAATTTCTACCGCGGAGTATAGTGTAAAATTATAGTACTCATTTTGTGTGCGTTCCTTATATTTCCCATTTAAGCGTATGATGTTATCACTCCCTGCTTGTATTGGCAAGAGTATTTGTGCAAATCGAATTTACATTCTTTGTTTCTTTTTTTGTAATACCACCATGGCACATGCACCCCCTAACTATGACTGTATTTGTTAATAGACTTTTTAACTCGATACATTTTTAACATGCGGAAAATGGTATGAGTGTGGTGCATTTATTTTTTATTCTAAAGTCTCATTGTTCCGTTTTGGAATCTTGTAGATCTAATTTTTTCATTGTTTTTTCTTTGTTAGGAGAAACACAGAGGGTTAGTATGTACTACTCCTATGCCGAAGGCTATCCTGTTGATCTTTATTATCTTATGGACCTTAGCCGCTCTATGAAGGATGATAAGGAAAATCTGTACGCCCTCGGCGACCAGCTGGCTTCTACAATGAGAAAACTTACACCGAATTTCAAGCTGGGTTTCGGAAGTTTCGTCGATAAGGTTGTTATGCCGTATGCCAGCACTCTGTCAAAGAAGTGAGTATAAGTACTTTTATTTAGAAAATTTCTGTCTTGGGTGTCTATATTTTATAATAGTTTTTTTAGTAGGAGAAGCAAGAATAATAATATAAGAGTGTTTACAAAGCAGATTTTTTTACTTTATGTTACATCCAGATTGTCTCACGGTGACGGCCCATTAGAATTATTTCAGAGACTAATTCAATTTGAATTTTGAAAATTTGGGATACCGGGTTTTCGGGCATGCCCTTCTCAACTAAAATAATGGCGTCCACGTACCACTTCCGGTTATACCGGAAGTCGCCAACAACTTGCTTATTTTAAATGGAACACCCTATATATTATTGCAATTTTGGATTCTACGTGTTATTTTAGGTGGACTTTTATGAAGTTTCCCTATTCCTAAACTTAACCGTTTTAGGCCAATCATTATAGCTTTTTTTCGGGAAAAAAATACTATTAGAAGTTTTTCTGCGGAATATTGTTCAGAAACGTGTTATAAACAAAATATCAAAAAAATCAACTCGAGACTAGTTGGGAAACTTTGTTAAAACAATGGTCAAAATTATGGAAAAGTGGTTTTTTGACTCGCGTAAAAAAACTTTTATTCATAGAGAAAAAAAGGTTTATACAAAAAATGTAGGTATTAAATAAATCTGTAAAATAAGACAAGTCCGATTAAATTCCGATAATTTGTTTATGCGCAAGAGCTCAAAAATGGTTGAAATTGTCCGCTTTTTTCAATTGCTAATAATTAATGCAATTTTCATCGCAGACACTTGTAATTCAGAATTTTTTAGGCTTTTTACACCCTTAATAAGTGGTAAAAATTTCAGCCCGAAAGCTTCATTGGTTTGGCGTTGGCGGAATTTGTTATCTAAGAAGATGCTATTTTCAATTCATTTTTCCCAAGCTCACAGGCGTTGTAGGGTTTCGATCATTAGTTGTTTTTGTACCTAAATAGTTGTATTGACATATGCATTTACTGATAATTTAATTTTTCAAATTTAATTTGTTTAAAAATGACTTTGAAAAAATGTTAATATTTATTACATCGTTAAGCGCGCATGCTAAGCCTCGCCTTCCCCACTCGTTCGCTAGACCAAGTAATAGAACGCATCGCCGCTATCTTCTTTTTCGAAATTAAATAGTTGAATTCACCTTAATGTTAATGTAGGACATGAAAATATAGCTCTTAATGTATACTCTCTCCAAATTTCGGCTCTTAATATTAATAATTAAGGTCACTGCGATTAAATAAAAAAAAAAATATCTCAGCTTCTAATCAACTTACAACAACGAATTTTTTTTTAAATTCGAAGAAAACTAAAGTATAGAGGTTACTATTTTATTTTATAATAATTACCTATCTTAACAATTTAATAAATATTAACATTTTTTCAGTCATTTTTAAACAAATTAAATTTGAAAAATTAAATTCTCAGTAAATGCATATGTCAATACAACTATTTAGGTACAAAAACAACTAATGATCGAAACCCTACAACGCCTGTGAGCTTGGGAAAAATGAATTGAAAATAGCATCTTCTTAGATAACAAATTCCGCCAACGTCAAACCAATGAAGCTTTCGAGCTGAAATTTTTACCACTTATTAAGGGTGTAAAAAGCCTCAAAAATCCTGAATTACAAGTGTCTGCGATGAAAATTGCATTAATTATTAGCAATTGAAAAAAAACGGCAATTTTCGACCATTTTTGAGCTCTTGTGCATAAACAAATTATCGGAATTTAATCGGACATTTTTCATTTTATAGGCTTATTTAATACCTACCTTTTTTTGTATAAACTTTTTTTCGCTATGAATAATAGCTTTTTTACGTGAGTAAAAAAAACACTTTTCCATAACTTTGACCACTGTTAAAACAAAGTTTCCCAAGTAGCCTCGAGTTGATTTTTTGATATTTTATTTATAACAGGTTTCCGAACAATATTCCGCAGAGAAACTTCTAATAGTATTTTTTTCCCGAAACAGGCTCTTTCATGTCTATAATGACTGGGCTATTTTCGAGATATTTAATTTTTTTCAAAAAAATGGAGAGAAACGATGACTAGCTTCAAACCATTTGTATTTTATAGTAAGAAAGATAAAGCAACAATATTTATAGGGGGGATAGCTAGACCCCTAAGCTTCCCATCTATACTTTCAAAGCGGCTTAATTGCATACAGGGTGCTAGAAATTTAATGCCGCCGAGTTTAGTTATCTTCAAACCTTCATAAGTCGGTTTTTTTAAACGGAACACTGTATGTTTTTCTATATTCTGATACACAATTTTATTCTCTTTCGAACGGTTTTCAGGGTTTCCTATACCTATCTCTTCTAGTTTTTAAGTTATCTACTATTTTTTGTGTAATCACCTAAAATCATGTAATTTCTTGCGAAGATAGGTGTGGAATTTTTAGCAAAACATCAAAACAAACAACAGTTCTTAATTTTTTAAAAAAGTTTGTCCTCTTCCGTTTAGTTACTCATTTGAAATATTCATCTTGTCAGATGACATTGTAACAAACTTATTTTGACAGATAACATTGGAACATGTTTATTTTGACCGATGGTAATAGTTTAAATAACTAGATGGATTTTACAGGGTCTAACGACACTTACAGTGTACGATAATTCAATAAACAAAAAAATTTAGATAAATTTGGAACGAATACACTGAAGATGATATTTTTCGAGACAAAACGTCTGAATCTGGTTCGGGTTGAGGCGGTACATTATTGGGGGTCACGAAGGCTTGCAAAAAATGTAAAATAAAATTTTCAGGGTCGTATTTAAAAAAATGAAGTTGTTAATAGTCCTGGAGAGACGAAACGTTACATATAAAAATTGATTATGCCATTCAATAGAGGGCAAAAATTGGCCATGAGAAAGTATTATTTTTTTTAATATCACCTCAAACAAGGCTGAAATGAAACAAGAACGGATTTCCAAAATTTCGTTTTTTTTTTCAAATATTTCGAAAACTAATCATGTTAGCCTTGATTTTTTAGAGGCATAATGTTGGTTCCCTGATTACGCAACTTTGCCCCTATCTAAGATAGTTTGTATCTCTTATCGTTTTCGAGATCCCTGTAGTGAGAGGCAAATTTGTAACAGCCTGTATATACAAAGAAAATATCAGACGATATATTATGTCTGTCTAGTTGTTACATATACTTCTCTATCTCTGTATATCTTGTATGCATTTTGAGGTGTGCATGATGTGTTCTAGAATGACGGAACTGGTATGAATACTATTAATAATTTGCACAGATTTAGGTGTAGTGAGATGGCATGTACATAGAAGAGTAGGTAACGTCTTGATTTATTTATATGTCTATAATGTATTTCAATTGTTAATATTTTTCCTGGTTACATGGTTATGGGGATTGTGGTAACTCTATTCTTGAAAATAAATAAAATTTTTTATTGTAATCTATAAATTTTGTTTTGAGTTTAAATATTTGCTAGGTACTTCTAGTTTGGTAGAAATCCAAAATTTAAAAATATAGTGAACAGAGAAAATCAGACAATTTAGTTTTTTTTTGCAGTACCTCATAACCATTATACAAAATCTAGGTACTAGGTAGTGAAAATTTAAAAAGTTCTGACATCTGTTGTTTTTTTCATATCGTGATACCTACCTTTTGGAAGTTAGAGGTTAATAAAAAGAAAACATAGTTAAACAAAGGTAACAATTGCAATGGGTGGTTGCAGTGGGAGTTACTTTGTAGGCGTTGTGTTAAAATAGTATGGTGTGCTCGTCGGCCGGCATAATTTCGTACTGTATGCGCATTACGTCATCTGCGACCAGCTCAAACATCAAATTTGTACCATATTCACGCCACGGTAACTACAGGGTCGGAAAGTCCCCATGGTTCATCGGCCGTTACGTGAGAGCGATAAAATAAGTCATAGAAATCCGTGCGATAGAGAAAGATGGCTATAATGAAGGCGTCTAATAGTCACCGCCCATTTCGCCCTTCCACAAATAAGATCCACTTCTTATTTGTGGAAGGGCGAAATGGGCGGTGACTATTAGACGCCTTCATTATAGCCATCTTTCTCTATCGCACGGATT